GACGGGCTCACTTCTGGGCATGCCAGGCCAACTGGCAAATGAATCCATTGCCGAATACCGACAACGGTTCGAAACTCAGCTCGCACTAATCGCGGCTGAGGAACAACGCCAGCTAGCAGTCAAGGCTGCCCAGCAACAGGTTGACGAAGTGGCAGCAGCAGAGAAGCTCCGGCTACAGGCCGAAGCGGACGCAGATGCCCAGGCTCGCCGCAAGGAAGCCCAGGACCTGCTGCAGCGGCATGAAGCAGCCAGCGTGGACAGACTCAAATTCTGACACTTTGAACCCAACGGCGACGACGCGACACCGGAAGAGCAGCATAAGGAGTTCATGGCCAAGCTCGTGAGCAGGTTGGTTTGCACATGTAACCACCTACAGTCCGAGGTGGCAAACCTCCAGCGCGCCGTGCAGAATCATAAGACTCAGCACGAGGATGCCACACGGGCACTGGACGCCCGTGTACTGGGCCTGGAACAGGCKGTACCAGGACCAGATGCTGGGGCTTCCAGCAGTGCATCCTCTAGTCGCCAACTGGAGGAACGCGTTGACCACGTAGTGGCAATGCTAGGAGACATAAGTGCCTTCACAGAGCCGGCCACCGTCAGCCAGCGGTTCCAGCTGCTAAACACCAAGATCAGTCAGCAATAGCAGACAGACCACAACCACAACAACAGCTCAGCGAGGCGATGCCGACGTTCCAGATTGGGAAATTTGATGACTACACACATTAAGACTCGGTCGTCTGGTGGCAAGGATTTACAACGGAGTTGGGGATTCACGAGGTCCCTGACCATCTGTTCATCAGTGCTCTGTTCATCAACACCAAGGGAGGATGTCAGATCTGGCTCAGCCATATGGCAACCATCCACGGCGTCCAGGTTTCAGACCTGTACAAGGTCTCCTGGGAAGATATGACAAAGGAATGGAAGAAGCGGTTCATCGTCGACGACGCCCCGGCACTCGCCATCAACCGCATCTTCACGATGGCTCAAGGGAGCACACCGACACGTGACTGGCTCACGGATTGGCAGAAGATCGTGGCAACGCCCGATTTGGACTTGCCATTCCCGCATCTGCGGCGTGAGTTCTACAACAGGTCATGCGCCGCCCTCAGCCTCGCACTTGGTGATCGCGAGCAGTACAACACTTTCGCGGAGATAATCAACAAGGCGAGAGAGCTCATCAAGACCAACAGGGCGGCTGCGCACTTGAAGTCAAAATGGCAGCCAACCTATGTGGAGAAGGTAAGAACTGGTCCGCGACAGCAGCAGTTCGCTGCAGTCCAGTCGGACAGTGGAGATAACCCAGCAGCCACTCCAGCATCAAGTGACGGAGATCAGGTGGCCGTTGTCCAGCCGCGAAGCAACAACAAGTCCCACAACAATGGGAAGGCGAAATCTGCATCGCAGGCCGCCAGTACAAGTTCCATGGGTCAAGTTCGGCTTGACCGAGGCGGAGTACAAGGTCCACGGCCGCTACGACAGCTGCTATTGGTGCAACAACACCAAGCACAAGACCTCCCTGTGCCAGGATCAGGGCAAGGAGGATGTGCGACCCGGCCTCATCGGGAAACTGAGCTCCGCGGAAGGTGAGGCGACTCCACCTTCTACTCCGCCAGATTCGGCCGCCTTGCTAGCGGCCTCCTGCACATCTGGGGAGGATGCGAATGTCGCAAGTCCTCGGTACACTTACGAGGATTATGCTGTCAACTTGGTTCCACCGCTGGACCAACCGCTCCACGTGCAACAGTCCACCGCATGCACGGTTTCATCACCATCGGCAACCGATTCGGCAGCTTCGCCGCAATCTATCGCTGGGGATTCGACGTCATGGTCAAGACTTGAAGAGCTCGATCCGTTGACGTTCACGAACTTCCAGTGGATGCCCGTTCCCTCGACCGGATGATTGCCGAAACCGCATTGCAACGTGCTTATGGCACAATTGTGGGATTACTTGCACACTGTAGTACCAGCTCCGTTGATGGGCGCCGGAGCAGAGGTTGTCGACCTTCACGCTTACATCGCAAAGATCGACCGCGAGTTCAAGACGCAACGGTACGACGACATCGCCCCACCATTGCTCTACGTACGCATTCAGATCGGAGAGGCGACCTGCAGTGGCTTGATCGATTGCGGAGCATCTCGCAACTACATCAGCCAGGACTTCATGGTGCGCGTCGGCCTTGGCCCACGCGTCTGGAGGAAGCCCCAGCCTACGCAAGTCACATTGGCGGACGGTCACACGCACAAGTCAATCGATCGGTGCATTGACAACGTCCCAGTGTACTTCGCCCCTCACGCAAGTGAGGCTGTGTCCTTTGACATTTTGGACACCAAATTTGACATGATCTTGGGCATGTCATGGCTGCGAAGCGAGGATCACCCGGTGAACTTCTTCCACCGCACCGTTCACATTCGTGATCGGAACGGAGTACTGGTTCCATGCACGGTGCCTCTTCCTCATCCTTCGATCAGCTGCCACGTGGTATCCGCCGCAAGCATGCGAGCTTCCATCATCAGAGACGACATCGAGGAGATGGGGGTGTGTTTTCTCCACGCCCTCACGCCCCATGACGCTTCATCGACGGACTCCCCTTCGGATCCACGCATCACCGAGCTTCTCGACGCCTACAGCGACGTGTTCAAAGGCCCACACGGAGTAGTACCGGATCGACCCATCCGCCACGAGATCATCCTCGAGGACGGGGCCGTACCTCCGCGCGGTTGCATCTACCGAATGAGCGAGGAAGAGTTAAGTGTGCTTCGGGCACAACTCGACGACCTTCTAGAGAAAGGCTGGATTCGGCCTAGCTCATCGCCATATGGTGCTCCTGTTCTCTTTGTCCGGAAGAAGAACAAGGACCTGCGGTTGTGCATCGATTATCACAAGCTCAACGCGCAGACGATCAGGAACGCCGACCCTCTCCCACGCATCGACGACCTTCTCGAGCGATTGGGCGGCGCCCAGTTCTTCTCTAAGCTGGATCTCAAGTCAGGGTACCACCAACTCGAGATTCGCGAGGAGGATCGCTACAAGACCGCGTTCAAGACACGGTATGGGCATTTCGAATGGCTGGTCATGTCGTTTGGCCTTACGAATGCCCCAACCACTTTCCAAGCGGCKATGACAACGGAGTTCCGACAAATGCTGGATCGGTTTGTACTCATCTACCTCGACGACATCTTGGTGTATAGTCGGAGTTTGGACGAGCATGTGGAACACCTGTGCACCGTTTTGGAGCGGCTACGACAAGCCAAGTACAAAGCAAACCGCGACAAGTGCGAGTTCGCACAGCAGGAGCTGGAGTACTTGGGACACTATGTGACACCGCAAGGCATCCGTCCGCTTGCGGACAAGATCGAGGCTATCCGTGTATGGCCCGAGGCCACCAACACCACGGACGTTCGTTCATTCATGGGGTTGGCGGGCTACTATCAGCGATTCATCACCGGATACTCCAGGATTGCTGCACCTATGACGAGGTTACAGTCGCCAAAGGTGCCATTCATATTCGATGACGACGCATGCCGATCATTCCAAGCACTTAAGACAGCTATGCTCATGGCACCCGTCCTTAGCATCTATGACCCCACCCTGCCGACGCAAGTGACTACGGACGCTTCCGGCTATGGCATTGGGGCAGTCTTGGAACAGCACGACGGCGACGACTGGCACCCTGTGGAGTATTTCAGCCACAAAGTGCCTCCCATCAACTCGCTTGATGATGTAAGGAAGAAGGAGCTGCTCGCATTCGTGATGGCTCTCAAGCATTGGCGGCACTTCCTCCTTGGGCGTCGTAGGTTCACATGGGTCACAGACAACAATCCATTGACCTACTACAAGACGCAGGACACGGTGAGCAGCACGATCGGACGATGGATGTACTTCAT